ATTTCGAATTTATGAGTTTATTTATGATTTTATTAAATTAAAATTTCTCAATACGAGGCAAATATGATATACATAATATATTTTCTTTGACAACGTACGCACAATATGATCTAATAAAAAATATTGTCTTTGATAGTTCTCTAGAGCTATGCACGATCGATAAATTGAATTAAGGTTTAGGAAAGCAAACGGATAATAAAAATTTTCCTCTTCAGTTAATCTTAATAGAACTTGTTTGGGAAACTTCAGTCTTTGCGAGAGATCGCATTACCCTTCCGGAGAGTTACGACGAGCTCTAAATTGATTTCGTCGATAAGAGAAAGAGGCTGTAGTCACGCGACCTGTCTTCTCAATTGGCTTGATATGTTCCAACAATGGGGCGACTCTTTTATTTAACTTTCACTCAATTGTTTTGTATTTTGTCACTTTAAAAATGCCGATCGGGTATCATTGATTTCAAGTACTAACGATTTTCATACGAAGATGGAATTTATATGATCCATGTTCTGTAATAATAATGAAAAATTGCGAATTCTTATACTATTTTATATACTAATTCTTATACTATTTTATATACTATTTTATATAATTTTTATATACGAATTCTTTGACTAAGATGGTTTATAGAAAATTTTAGAAAAAAATATGGACTGTGTGTGTCGAACAAAATATTAATCCAAGCTTAGGTACTTTTTATATATAAAAACATTTCACATACGCAACGATTAATAATTTAAAAATGAGAGTGTCTGTGCATTTCAATAAACTTAGATTATAGCTATCTGCGGATATAACGAAATGTGACTTGGCAATTTCACAAATTCGTCGCAAAATACGAATTGAACTTCAAGATAACAACAGCTTCGTAGCACGGCACTTTTATTCACAGCTATCTCGTAAAGTTTGTTCTAGCAATTTGACGCTGATTCATATAAGCGACAGTAGCGATAACGGCAATAACCGTATTTGCGCACGTAATCTTGGTGAAAAATACGTCTTTGCGAGTATAGACACTTGAGATTCTCTCGTTAACCAGGACAACAATTAAACATTCCATTATTTGTGCACACGTATTTGCATAAATGCCAATTATGTAATTATCAATAATGATAAAGACGCGCTATGTATATATAAAATGCTTGGAAGCCGATAATTCATATGTGCGATAAGATCTTGAACTTCGCGCTTCTTGAACCAGCAATAAAATTTCGAACTGGTTTTCTGCATTAAATTTATACTTTTTTTGTTGGTTTTCTATAAAACATTCGATCAATATATAAAGACGAACGAGAGTATCTCAATATCGATATATCATCGAGTGTGAAATTTATTTCTTACGATGTCATGAATTTCGTCAGTGATACAAAACTCAACATGAAAAGTAGCATCGGTGGAAATAGCGATAGTCACGCATCGGCTACATCTTTCGTCGATGAGATTATTAGTCATTAATTTTTAGGATAATATTAGCAGCTTAACTTTTTATAGCTATTGCGATAGAAGTGATACTGCTTCATCGAATAAATTTTATCAGATGAGAAATAATTTAGCGTACTCTAAATTTGATAAAATTATATTAATCTAATACACTATTATTTTTTTTAATATTATAAAGATTCTTCAAAAGATTAAAAAGTGGTGTAATAGAAAAAATTATAGATTTATTTGTGGGTCTATCACGATTCTTGGTTCTAAACAAATTTTTATAATTTTTAATATTTTCTATCGTGATTAATAACAAAGCACGGAAGTTTAGATGTAACCTCTGTCTCACGAGAGCGAGTCTCCGATCGCGAATGGATAGGAGGATGGGAAGGAGACGCGGAAGAAGTAAGATAGAAGACCGCTATTGGTTATCGCCATCGATTCGATCAAATCCCGAAGATGACTCGTCTACTTAATAGCGCTACTTTGTAGTCAGGACTGTGTGCATTGTATGCGTGAGAGCTTTGAAAATCTTGCATACGGCACATGCAAATATTTGCGAAATTCGATTCCCGCGATCGTCCTGTCTCCAACTGCATTCGTAATCACGACGAACATTATGACGCGATTTTTCTACACGTATAGTCGGAGACCTCTTATATAATCGTATTTTTTATTGTATGGAAGGTAACTAAATATTTACTGTTTCCGACACCCGTGAATGTTTCTGGTTGCAGCCTGCCGATACTTAGCGTGAATTCTTGTGCATGTTCATCAGAATCGATCGTGTATTCAAACCGTCTGTTGCATTTACAGTATCTTTATCTTTCGTTTAATCGTTGTATTGTTCATCTTTGTTAATACCTAGAAAATAATTTTTTGAAATTTGTATCGCAAAGTGTTATAAAGTGTATTTGTATAGTAAGATATATATAATATATATATATATAAGAAACAAGATTTAAATGCAAAGATCTGGGAGAAAGAGGATGAGAAAAAGGGTGGAAATTAAAGATTATATAAATTTTACCATTTTGATGAAATTAAATACACATTAATGCTGGAACGTGTATACATATCTCGTTTTTCCATGCATAAATCTCTTCTTGAAAAATATTTTTTACTACTTTTTTGTCTCTTGGATTTATTTATCTTTTTCTTCCTCCATTATTTTTTCTAACTGTCTTTACAACCATTTTCCATCGACTATTTAAATTATCCTTTTTTCTGTGCGACTAAAAACAATAGGATTGAATCATAATCTAATAAAGTAAATTTTTTTGGACATATAATTATAGATTTACTAAACATTTTTTTTTTCTTTATTGAATATGAATCTGCTTTATGAATTTTTAATCCTTTTTTTTTCTTAGCATTCTATATATTATAAGTAGAAATAACACGTAGAAACATATAAAATATAAATATGTAATTTTCTCACTTTTCTTTTAGCATTAGTTTTTTATCCATTATATTAACAAAGATTTTGGCCATTGTGACATGTTGCCACTTGTCTCTTGTCACTACTGTCGCTAACCACAAGGTAATTCCGTGTGAGAACAGATAAAAGAGCAAGTAAATATTGAGTTCAAATACTTACGTGTTTATGATAACCGTTCTTCTTACGATTGCGCGATCTTGATGTTTTCGGATGTTTTCATACAATTCCCGAATTATAGATATCGATATATATATATAAATTACGAAGCATGAATTTTAAATGACAAAAATTTTAAATTTATAATATTATCTCTAACATTTTTTCCGTTCGAAACTTAATATTATGATACAATATTGTATACGTGTGCGAGAAGAATTATTTTACAAAATTAATATAGATATTGCATTTTTTTACTTTTTATACGCTTGAAAGTAATAGAATTATTAATCTTATGACAGTTCACAATATGCATATAATGCGTGATATCAATTATGTAATAATAATATTTATATATTATGTATTATGTATTTATGTATTATTAATATTTGCACCTCGTAGAATTTATCTTCTAAATATCTGCAAATTAATACATTTCCATGTTATATAGTTGCATACATCGTACACAAATATGTCACATGAATATTGTATGTAATGCGGGGATGCGTGATATATGAACGGACTATGTCGGAGTGTTTTACGGTAAATCTTATCGATCGCGTGAAACGTCCCTCTTTTGCTTCGCCGAATATCGTAACTTTTGGTTAATGGACATCGTCAACGACGATTAGTCGCTGGTCTGCGGCGCAAAACGATTTGGACAGATTTCAGAAATGCGTCTGGCGGAGGCGGGCCGGTTTTATAGTCTTCCGATGATTTTGTCCACGCTTGATGCACACAAGCGGCCCTTAATCGACATGCTTTGGTTGTCTCTGTTCACAAATAAAAACGAAAAGAACTTTCGTGTGACAGATTATTTTTATTTTCATTTTTTCATATCGAGGATACTAATAAACAAAGTCAGAGAGATATAGACAGCTGCCGAAATTTCATGTATAAATTTAAAACTAGATAATGCGACATCATATATGGGAAATTGGTTGTTATCATTTTTTATAGTCGTTTCATTATCTTAACATTTTATGCGGCTATGTCGTAAAATACTTTTGTTTATCAATGATAAATTTAAAATTCGAAATATGGCACAGAACATTCGATTTTCACATTATATGTTACATCGATTTTTACAATATATGTTAATTTTAGATGTAATAATGTTATTACACATCTTTTAAATGTAATAATGTTATTACACATTTTTTATTAGTATATCAATAATATTATATTATGTATTAATAAATATATATACACTAGATTTTAGGTTATTTAATGTTTCTTTAATTAATTATAAATACATTAAATAAAATTAAATTTAGGTATATATGTTAATATTAATAATATGTGTAATATTAAGACGATAGGCGAATCTCATAAAAAAAAGAAAAAAACGATTTTTTCTACGTATTTTTGTAAAGGAAAAAAAATTGTTTCTGGATTATTTTTATAAAACATTTTAATGGTAAAATCGGTAAATCGGTACTTTTTTAAATTAACGGATTTAAAATGTTCTCAAAGTCGATATTTAAAGATATTAAGATCAATTCACTATCGCATGTTCAAAATCGCATTGTTCAAATTTATATCGTTGCAGATCGTTAATGTTCAACCGTTTTTTTCTATTATGTTATCCATTATATTGCCATTATATTAATTTTTTTGAACTGCATATTCGCAGCGCTTGGTGTTTTGTATATCAATGTCTTTTGCGAGCGAATTCGATGAATATAATAATATGTGATAGCTAATAAAATTTACTTATATAACATATATATTCTTAGATAGGTGGATACATATATATTGATAGAAATTATTATCTCATCATGATATAATTGAAAGCAAGTATCTTTCTTGTTGTGCGAGAATCGCGGTATCAAAAATATTAGCAAGAATATCGGAAATACAATGTCCGTTTTAACAATTATTGATTTCAATTGCGAGAAAAAGCAAAAAAAAAAAAATAGAGAAAGAAAGATATAGGGGAGAAATGAAAAGTATAAAAGGCCGATTCCGAGAATGCTTATTTGATAGAGATGGATTTATTGAGAATTTATTCGGAGAATTTGTATTTGTATTTGTTTTTAAACAGTTCAGGATGTACCCATCGTAAGTGTAGCAGGAATAGCTCAAACAGTTCTACTGGCATTCCGCATATGCTACATTTAAATCTGTGTAAATATTCAAATCCTTCTGCTACTTCTTCAAAATATTCTATAAAAAAGGAATTTTTTTAAATTTATGCCACATTACAAATAATATATTTTTATACATAATATATTTTTATAGGGTGATATCAGTACACTATAGAAATAAAATTTAAATCTCTAGCTGAGTCAAACGGTCAAAGAGAAAAACGGAAAACAGTAATCTATAATATTTACAATTTTGATGAAAAACATACTTAATGTTATTTTTAATGCTAACGAATGTTAATTTCGTAATATTGTGTGTAACTTTTGCTCTTTTATACCTAAATCTTTCTCTGTAAAAACATATATTTTTTTACTTACTTTTGACTTTATTTTTTTTTCCCAGCGGTTCGATACTTGCCTTCTCATCCATTTTCTTTAATTATTTATATATTATTGTTTTTTGTCGATTATTTAAATTATTGCAATTTTTTATTAATGTGTCTCTAGAAATAGAAGCAAAATTACATTAAATATTGACAAATAATTTTCAATCATTACATATTAACGATCTTTTTTATGTCAAAGTCGAATGACAAACTTTTTTTTCAACATATATGTAGTTTTTATGGCATAAACGAAATTATTGTGCGTGTTATAACTGCAAGTGACATATTAACATTTTTTTTTTATGGATAATTTAATTTATTGAAAGTAGAACACGTTCATGTATAATTGTTTTTTGAAACGCTAGTAATATTTGGAATTTAAAAGATAAAAAAGCTAATATTTTGTATCATTTTCACTTAAAACTTCACGCGTAATCGTAATTCAGGCTCATATATTGATCTCTATTATTTCGTTTATTAATTAAAAACTTTTTTATGAAATTTGATATATACTCTAAAACTTGTTCAAAATTTGATATTTCTTAATTAAATTAAATTAATACACTGACAAAAAATTATCATGGATATGGAATATATAAAATAATGTATAAGATAAAAATATTACACATATAATTCTCTCACATTTCTCTTTTAACACTCGTCTCTTTGTCTGTTAACAAATGACTTTAGTTGATATCACTTGCCACTTCTCACTCGTAACTGCCAGTAACCGTCTTTCGTCATAGAGAATTATCCAGGTGCTTTAAGGGCAAATAAATACAAATAGAAAATATTGACCTCAAATATTTACATGTTTATAATAATTGTAAGGTTACTCAGGAACGGTGAGACGTGGCAGGAGAGAATTCAAAAGTTTGTTAAACTGTTAATTGAATAGTTTTTATTGCTTAATAAACGAGAAAGATTTATATCTATTTTAAAATAAGATGAAAACAGAAATGTACTTTTAATGACAAAATTTGTAGAAAAAAGTCTAAAAACAAATTACCCAGAATAGAAAACATACGGATTTTTTGTAGAAATCTATTGAAAATTTGAAATTATTACAAACATTACTAGTATAATTTGATATTATAATATATAGGAAATATGTATGGAAAGGAGGAAGAGGAGGAAAATTAATTATTTAATATCCACGCGTATTACGAAATTAATTTATGTACATTACATTTTTTTTACTATATTCACTCACTTGGAAGTTTTAGTATCTATTTTATCATTGATAGCAATAATAATTTTCTTTTGATGACAAAATTAATGATACGTGTTTCAATAACAATATTAATATTTGAATCGTAGAATTTATTAATAAAGTATTTGCAAATTAATGTACATTTCTCGTGTGTGTTATGTGTGTCTATATTATATATGTATATGTCACATAAATATTATATACAATGCAGTGGGATCTTGTTCGTATATACCGGGTGTCTTGTGGTAAATCCCATCGATCGCGTGAAACGTCCCCCTTTCCCATTGCGACGAATATGGTTAGTCCGGGTTAATGGACGTCGTCAACGACCATTAGTCGCGCGAAGCGATCTGGCCGGATTCCAGAAGCGTCTGGCGGAGGCGCCGGTTTTATTGTCTCCCAATGGGCTTTGCCCACGCTTGATCCACTCAAGCGGTGCTTAATCGTCGCGCTTTGGCCGCCGCTGCGCCATTCGCAATCAAACCCGGCGACAAATGCTTGCGATAGATTATTTTCACGTTCTCTTATTATTTTTATCTTATTCTCTCTTTTACATCTCGAGGACACGAGTGATTAAGCTAGATATAGTTTGCTGTAGAATTTTCATGTATCAGCTTAAGATAGAGAGTGAACATTTATAATCCCTTCATATGCCATTTTTTGAACGAGATACATGTATCTCGCAGCTCAATATAGTTCATATTCTCCGTCTTTGAATCGCGCCGAATTTATATCGTGAATCTGATATGTATATACGAATTACCGGGAATTCGCTAAAAAGATATCTCCCGATATCTCTAATGTGATAATCGTGCCGGATGAAACTATCGTTCGATTGTCTGTGTGGGGTTGTCATACATCTGATGTTGAAGCAGATCTGCGTGCTTGATATAGATAGATGAACGCGATGGATATATAAACCACGTCGATGATTTCTATCCCGCAGTGGCAGTGGAAGGCCAATTACGAATTATGCATACGCGTGCGAAACTATTGCGGAAACCTCGGCTATAGAGAGCGGAAGAACGGGCCGAGAGGAAGAGAATTTTGGAACCGATAATTGGCAGGTACGAGAAATTGACGTCGTTTAAAGATACAATGCAAACGTGACGCGCAAACCCAATCTCTATTATTGAGTTCTCTGTCGTTGGCGTGCAATCACAAAACGCGAGCGCGGGGAGCTTTAATGCTTCCGTGTTTTTAAACACGCGCGATTTTTGCAGCTCGTCAAGTCACGCCGTATGTAATACACTGAGAAAAAGGATTAAGAAGATGCCGGATACCGACAGAATGCGAATATTAGTAGGATTGCAAAATATTTTTGTTGATTATAGATATCAACAAATTCTTTTCCATAATTAAAGTATACATAATAACGGAGTGCGGGGTTTATGCCGTATGTAAGAAAAAGGATTAAGAAGATGCCGGATACCGACAGAATGCGAATATTAGTAGGATTGCAAAATATTTTTGTTGATTATAGGATTATAGATATCCTTTTCCATAATTAAAGTATACATAATAACGGAGTGCGGGGTTTATGATTTCATATGAAAAGTAAAAAAAAATTAAAAAATAACAGTT